TCTGCTACCTCCTGCTCACTGGATCCAATCAGCATAACATCATCAATATAGTGGACCAGTGTGATATTTTGTGGAAGAGTCAGGCAATCAAGATCCCTTTTAACCAAGTTATGCCACAGTGCTGGAGAGTTAATATACCCTTGAGGCAGGACAGTAAAGGTATACTGTTGGCCTTGCCAGCTGAAAGCAAATTACTTCTGGTGGTCCTTATGAACTGGTATCGAGAAAAAAGCATTTGCCGAATCAATAGCTGCATACCAGGTACCAGGAGTCATATTAATCTGCTTGAGTAGGAAACCACATCTGGTACAGCAGCTGCAATTGGAGTCACTGCTTGATTAAGTTTTCGATAGTCAACTGTCATTCATGCTATCTGAAGACTCTGAGTTGGAGAGCTTGCTCCAGATACCAACAAGCCCATTAAAGAAATTCATCCTTTCAATTCTGTTTCTCTAGAACCACTCCTGGTACCACAGTCTGTATTAGTCAGGGTTCTCTAAAGAAACAGAACCGGTAGAATGAATATATATATGTATAGAGGTTTATCAGCTTAGCTCACAGGATAGAGTCTGAGTAGTCTAACAATGGCTGCACCACACTGGAGAGGCTGAGAATCTGTAGTCGCTCAGTCCACAAGGCTAGATGTCTCAGTATTCCCAATCTGGTGCTGAAGGTCTGACAAATTCCAAAAGATCAGCTAGTCTTCAGTCTACAGCAGCAAAACAAACTCACCAGCGAGAGAGAAGGCAAACAGCAAGAAGCCTGGCGTTCTCTGCCTTGGTCTTTTATACCAGCTGCCATCAGAAGGTAGCACCACATTTAGGGTGTGTCTTCAGGCTTTAGATGATCCAGTCAAGAAGATCTCTTTCATTTCAGTTTATCCCAGATCCAGTCAAGTTGACACCCAGGATTAGCCATCACAGTTGTAAAAGAAAATTAGTTCAGTGTATTGTTGAACTTTTAAAAATGCTTGTATCTGTCTGCACTCAAAGTTGACAGATAACAGCACTGCACATGGCTATGAGTGACTGGCCTGGTCCTGGGGAGACTCAGCAGCAGCTGCCTCTGCTTGTGCTGTTTCTCTGTCTGCCCTTGACTAGTTCCTTGCCTGTGAAGCATAAAAAATGTTTGTATTTAGTGCCTTAGTAAGCACTTGGGCACTTAGAGAAGACAAAAGCCAAACCAAACCAAAAAAAACGCAGGAGCATACGAGACGAAGGGTGATACATTGGGGAACTGGGAGAGCTGTTGTCTGACATCCAGACTTTTCAGATGTGTCGAAAGTCTGGAACGTGAGGCAAAGTGTGAAATCCTGTATTCATAGAGTGCATGCCCAGGAGTGTACTCTCAAAGGATGGCTTTAAGCCAGTTTGTCTTCTGGCCTATTGTGCTGAAGGACTGAGAGAATATTTGATGCAAGAGTTGACCATTCAGATTTGCTTCACCGGAGAGCTATCAATATGTTCCTTTCATTTCTTATTTTATTAGTCTGCTGCCTAGGCAGTGCTTTCTGTTACCAGGACTCTGTGTCTGTCTGTCTGTCTGTCTGTCTGTCTGTCTGTCTGTCTGTCTG